AGTCCATAAAGGACTTTTTGGTCAAATGGATAGAAGTGCAAAAATTCGTAAATGTTTACTTTCCAAACAACTTAAGGCTAAGAAGATAAGAAATTGTGCAATGATAAGCTTGCCAACTTTCCTATCATTTGCTGTCTTAAAGAAAAGAGTAAAATAAACAAGTATCGTCAGTGGATATATATATATATATGGATTATGAATTGTATTTTATAAGTGTATAATTGTAATGTAACTACAATTACAAAATGCACATTAATAAAATCATTTTCAACTATAAACCGATTTTATCAATATAAATATACCAAGGTTTATATAAATTATGAGCTACGGTTCGGAAAACTTATAAATTCGCTTAAGTTGTCTATTAACTCATCAATTACCGAGTTAACAATATTTTCTTTTTTTTCTTCAATGACATTTCTTCTGGCCTCGCACATTACATTCATTAATTGGTTTTCCTGGTGTCGTCATCGAACCACTCTAGACTTTCAGCAATATATTGGATAAATAGATTTTGTTCACTATGTTATTACATATTATTACATTCTATTAAAAACTTTTAACATTTGGTCCATGTCATCTTCTGGCTTTTTCTTCTTTTTTTGGTGGCGATACAGATTTGTCATCGATGATGATGATAGAAATCCTTGGTCAACTTCAACCGGATCTTGGCTAGATCTTGAGCTGTAAAATATACATTTTATTCTAAAATTTGTGCACTACATCAATCTTGTGCAACACGTGCACGTGCAATTTGCTGAATGCTTGCACGTGCAATTTGCTGACGAATTACTGTAGACATCATGCACGTGGCCTGAGTGAACTTGGGGTTCAGGAAGTGTCGCGAGTCTACCAGCTACATATGCGGAGTTCAGGAGCTGTGGAAAGTCTACCACGTGTCCCAAAGGAATTACTTGGAAGAATTCATGAGGTGACATTGTAGAAGTGATATCTATTGACATTTATTTATTTGACATTACCTACAGTGAATATTATAATTATTTCATTGTATTGTAATTGCTTATTATAGTTATAAATTTTGAGTTGTAAAGGTCGTAGACTTGTAGGTTTCATTATAGAAAAGCCCGACATTATAATAGTTGACGAATGAAAGAAAGAAGTCAAAATCGCCGACGTTACGGTAGCCTTCAAAAACAGGAAAGCGGCATTTGAACAACTTGCGGACCATTTCAAAAGAAAAAATTATAATACCGAAATGAATGTATTTGTGCTTGGATCGCTTGGATATCCCTTCGGAATAGGGAAGAAATATTGTGTGCTAATGAAGTAGTTGATGGACAGCGATACGATAAGATGGTTCCGAGACATCTACATTGAGCACATAACGGGCCATCGACAGTACACAAGCTAACTAAATCTATAGGAAAAACCGCTACTTACATGACATCACTTATCATTAATAATTACATATCAACGATTATGTAAATTTGCATGATAGCATGTAACTAAAACCCATCCATGTATAAATTGCATGTATACTAACATTAAGCATACTTATAGCTTACTAATTATAACTATATTTACTTTGCATATTACTAATATATTAAGTTGCATGATAATTTACCACTTAATCATTTAATTTGCATGTATACTAACTTTAAGCTTACTTAGTTTACTGACCTACATTATTAACTATCAATTAATTAACTAATTCGCATACTACTAATAACTTGCACGGTAATAATCATCATTTATCTAACCTTAATGACTATTAATCAGCATTTATACTACTATTATCTTTATGTCCTATATATTATTGGTGTTGGTGCTTAAGTATTGAATATTAACTTTTAGAAGTGATTAAATTTGCATGTTGCTATGAATAAATTGCTTGCGCATGAAATTATACAACCAATATATCTAAATAATCTAAATGTTCCAGTTAATTCAATTGAACATATCTAATTTTTACCTTCCATTCCAGACATGGCATGGACTCGGATCGCATCGCTTATTTATACATAAATTATTATACATAAATGCAATAACTGCATTTTTCTTTAGATTTTAATATATCATAAAATAAAAAATAACGATTGGCTCGTAGTTTTAATACATACAGATAAAAAAACAATTCATTGATATTAATTCTTGCATTAATGCTATAAACCGTAATATGATTTTTAGTCAATTTAAAAAAAAATCCAATAAATTCCTAGTTTTCATAAAATTATTTCAGTTCAACAGAACGATAATTAAAGTCGGCGACTTTTCACAATCAAATATGCATACTGTTTATTAAATAGCACTGAATTAAATTCGAATTAACTGAATGCCCGAGCAGCCGTAGTGTTCGCATCGCCCAGAAAATCTTTAATTCCTGTCAATTTAAAAGTGAAGTTTTTCTGAATATGTTACGAGGTGAAGTTTTATAAACTATTTATAACATTTATTAGTTCTACATAATTTATGGTCGAC